CATAGCATCAAGAACACCTTCGAAGCCAATGCCACAAAAGCTGCTGCATCCTCCGTCGCGTAATTTGCTGCATCCCAAGATTCCCAAGTTCCACCTCTGGTTGGCTGCATTTACCATCGCCCTCGACTGTAGCTGACATAACAAAGTCTCTGTAAAACATATGTGCCTAAGATCCGGATTCTGTTGTGGATCCAAAATCTGTTCCGGAACCGGACCCTGAACTAAGATCAAAGCTGCTATTAGGACTAGTCATAGGGTTGAACCTGTGGTTATGTCAATGCTGAATTTCCCACCATTTTTTGCACTAATCGTTGAATTGGCTAGTGGTGTAGTGTCTATGCCATCCTCAGAGATGAGTTCGAAGTGGTAGCCAAGGAGGTCTCCACCATTGCCGTCCCTCCAGGCCTCCAGGCGACCCCAAGGCTTCCAAGTGCTGTGGCTGTGTCGAAGAATGAGCCATGCTCCTGGATTAGATCGGCTCACCCTATCGGTGCCAAGCGATGGCACAAATGGTGTCACCGTTGATGCAGCAGCTACAGGCGAGCCAGAGAGGTCGTGGATGGTGATCGACCACCCCTTTCTCTCTTTCATCGGTTGTTCTTTATTAGCTGTTACTGAACTCACGCAACTGGTTGAGGTACTTAGTTCTGATAAGGAAGATCTGTTCAATGACAATTCAAGAATTAGGGGCCATTTGAAGAAAGATTATTCTGGTTGAGGTACTTGGTCCCCCAATTGTATTGTTTAATGTTCATTTGTATTCTCTCTCTCACATTTGTAGCCATGAATTGGCTATATATTTCTCAGTGCGTGTGATCAAGGGTTTGGAAGGTTTTGGGGGTTTTTCTGTGTGCGGGGATGCTGGAGGGGTTTTTAACGTATTTATTACGTTATTAAATGTTTTAGTTAGTTAATAGGGTATTAATCAAATTAGTTAATTTCTTAGGGTATTAGGCCTAATTTGCCAAATTACTTTTATCGAATCGGGTCGGATATGAGCATATTCGATCCATATCCGATCCTTTTCCAGCCGCAGGGACAAATACATGGGCATTTCAGCAATATAGTTGCGACACCAATGAAATTAAAACTCTAAAAAATTAAAGTATAGTGCAAATTGAAAATTCATTTTAATTGAATGTTAAAACCGTACAGTACTATAAAAAAAATTGTAATGTGCACAGATAGTATGTAATTTAGGAAGAGAATATGAGATATAGATTGTTTGAGAAAGTATAGTAAGGAAACTAGTATATACTAATCAAAATGGCATTTAGGAGATAATAAGAAACATAAAATAGAGTAATACCACTTATAATAATGTCAATATTTTTTTGTGCAATAATATGGCTTATAAGTCAACCCTAAGTTAAATTGAAAACAAAAATTGCATCTGCATATGGTAATTACAATTTGTAATATTTAGATGCAAAGCTAATATTTAATTACACCTACCATTTAGGTGAATTAATTATAATGTAATCTATTTTTCTGTCATCTTTTAACTTATTCTCTCGAACTAAATTCAGCCCACTGAAACTTTTCTTATTATCTTCTTCTTCAAATTTCTTCCAATGGAAAATCAGCTCTCGGTAATGTGCATGTTTTTACATTATATTCTATGTTTCTATAGTTTAAACCTTCATCAATTTGTTACTTTATTGGAGAAGATTGTACTGAATGTGAATCTCAGTTGCGGTGAAGCATGTCCAAAGACACTGGAGAAAGCATTGTTCAAACTTACAGGTAATTACTATTTTCAATACAACTACAGTTTGCTCGAGTTCTTGCTCATTCTGTTTAGGGTTTTGCGTATACTTTTATCTTTTGCATAATTTCAATCTAGTCTTGATTTTTTAAGAACAAATTGCTTTTTATGTTTTTGTGTGTACTAGGTGTCTCTTCACACACTATAAATACAGAAGAAATCTTGTATCCCTCTCAGGAACAGTGGAGCCAGCTACATCCATCAAACTTATTTATGCAAAATTAGAAAAAAGGCAAAACTTGTATCCTACGAGCCAGAGTCTACAGACGACAAAGAGGAAAAACCTAAGAATACAGAAACTGTGGAGGATAAAGATTCGAACAACAAAATTGAATCTCCACACAAAGAAGAAATGCA